TTTTTCTTTTTTTTTTTTTTTTTTTTTGGATATTTTTACTTCTAAATAAGAAATTCCGAATAGCGAAGGGGTTTTTGATTTTCTTTTTTTACTTGCAAATGGGCCTGTTTCTGACTTTGTGCTTTTCTTAGGAACATGCCTGAAGTTACAGAAATAGGACAACAAGGGAGCTCATTTGCTTTCTCCCATCCAAACCAGAGATTTCAAATTCTGCAAATCATCTGCAAACTGAACTCTTGCAGAGCAATGCTTTGTGAACCACCAGCCCACCCTCTGCTGCCAGAGGACTTTGGAGATCACTTTCTGGCTCGTACAGGGGTTGCATCAACGCTCTGGTCTGTTTTCCACGTTGTGGTTTGATGTAAAAGGCTTGGCTTTTTGTATAGCCCACATCAGGATATTTTAACGACCAGATTTAGAATTTTCTTCCAATGGCTGTGTTCTCAAGGGCTTTTTCAGTTCTTGAAGGGCTCTAAATACCTTTGTATGGTGTGAAACAAATCTTAGCTAGAGAGTTTGTAGCCTGGAAATTGTAGAATTGGGAAAAATTTTAGCTGTTTATAAAAAAAAACCCCAGAAGCAGACTTTAATGGGTGTTTTTCGTTGATAGGATCAGATGTCCAAATGCCTCCTCAGGAAGGAGAGAGAGGCTGAGGCTGCTGAGCTCAGATGACAAGACCAAATTTCACTGTTGTACCAAGAAATCATCAGCACGCAGAAATGGGCCAAAGGGACACAGACGTCCCCAAGCCATCAGAATACAATTTTTTTGTGCTGGCTACTCTAAAGCAGCAAACTATAATTTCCTCAAGGATCCACCTGTAACCGAATGGATAAAAATTGCTCCTCAGTGGTTTTTCACAGCCTGACAGTGCATATCCCTGACTGCTGGAGGCTCCCGGGGGGAGCAGAGCACTTACATCACAAGATGCTGATGGACCACACCACCGAGTTACTGCTGGAGCTGCCACTTGAAAGAGTCATTTAGCAACGTGGAAAAGGTTCTCCTGTTTCTTGTGGGAACTGTTAAACCAGCCTGGCACCGAGATAAGGAGAAATAATAATAAACCAACCCTTTTCTGCAGCAGAACCCTCAGCGGGTGTTTCTATGAAGATATTCAAACCTGAGAGCAGTGTGACAGATCTGGCATTGATTTTGTTTTTTAACAAGAAAAGCAGCATCACTGCTGATATTTTTCCTCTCAAAGTGGTGATTCTTGGAAAGGGCTTGTAGGATTGAGTGCCTGTTCTACTGGGTTAACTCTTAGAATAACTGAAGAAGGTCAAAATTTACAGGAATCCCCCAACCCAGAAAGCTGCAGCTCCCCCATGGCAGGGTGGTTTGTTCTGGATTTCTCCCAGTGAAGGCTCCAACACTGCTGTTCTGCTTTGACACCCACAGCCAGGATGTTTACAGTGCTTCCAGGCCTGTCCTGGTGATTTGAGCAGAGGTACTGAGTTTGCATTAAAATCTGAGGTAGAGTAAGTCAACGAGTCTGAGGTCTTAAAGCATCTGGGAAATCCTAAAAAAAAAAAAAAAAAAAAAAAAAAAGTCTGAAGAGCTGTGTTAAGGTGCAGGAGCCAGATCTGCTGTTGGTAAAGCTGGAGGGGGCGGTTTTGAATTTCCAAACCAGTACTGAGCACATCCTCTCTGCTGACATGGAGAAACTTGGGCAACGCGGCAGGAGTGGGGCTGCCGGTAGAATCGCAGGGGCTGAGCACACCCATTTGGCTAGACACAACTCCAGTGACACCAGCGATGTCTGGGGCGTATTTCTGGCGTGTGCTTACAACTGACACTGGTTCCGTGGAGTTTTCTTGAGGTGTGCTCCCAGCTGTGAAAATAAGTGCCTCGAAACCAAACCTGCCCGAGCGGGTGCCCGCAGGCCCGCCTGCACGATGCGTCAGGGCAGGAGGGGTTGGGGTCGGCAGAGGTCTCGGCCCTACCGTCACCTCTGAGCTTGGGATGAAGACGAGTGTGAGAGAGAGCAGAATAACCCGTGCACTGTGTTCGTCTGCAAGTAGCTGAGACTGAATTACTCAAAGGCACTCGGAACACCAAATACAGATTTTCAGTAAAATACCTTGTGTTCAGAATGTCCTGCTTCACCGCAATAAATGCGTGCGATAATGAGTCCTTTTGTTTGGGCCTTTATTTAATTATTTGAGAGGCCAAGGAGAAGCGATGGCAGTGAAGCTGGGCAGGGCACGGGGCTCAGCTCTGCGGCTCCTGGAGTGGGGCCCAAGCTGGGCTGTGCCACACGTCGAAGGGCTGCCAGCAACGCAGCCTGCAAACTGCTCTGAAACCGAGAGGATTAAGCTTATTCTCTTGTGCTGTAACTGATTTACAAAACACCTTTGCCCCTTCCTATTCTGAGGAAGCTAGAATGAAATTCTGGCCTGATTTAGAATTTTTGCGAGGCTGTTGCATCCATCGTTAGCTGTAACAGCACTGCAAAGCTCCCAGGGGCATCCCTGTCCCCATCTGGGTACCTGCAGGTAAAGCTCCTGGGATCTGCTTCTGCACGGCGTAGCGGGAGCGACGCTGCAGTGGGGTGATCGAATTAAAACAATCTGCTTAAAAACACGCTGGAGAGAAGGCTGGCTCTGTAATCTTTATCTGAGCTGAGCAACACCTTCTTTTCAGAAATAAACCCTTTGAGGATGATGAGAAGGGACAGTGCTGGGACAGGAGGACACTCAGGGGGCCCCTGCTGCAGGCAGAGGGTTTTGAACGGGACCCTCGGCTCCGGTTTGTGTGCTCAGAGGTTTTGACTTGCACGTTTGCTGTTTAACAAACACCATATTTTGGCGCACGAACAGGTCTGAAATCCAGAGATTGTATTGCGGTGCGAAGGGGGATTCTCAGCTCGGAAGAGAAAAGAGGGGGAAAAGGCAAATACCGACAGCGTGGAGCTGCCGGCGCTGTGCCCGGCGCTGGGGCGATACGTTGAGGCTTTGCCAGCTCCCTGTCCCTGCCTCCAGGACACCTCTCTCTGCTGCTGACAATATTGATGACGTCTATTAATTGCAGTCTCACAGAGTCATTTTTGTAGCCTAATTTTTCCCGTGTATTGCCTGTTTTCTGCAGTGGTCAGGTTATCCAGTGCGTTGGCTCAGTAAAGGCTTAACAGCCTTTTAAATGGGGTTTGTTGGTTATTCAAGATCATTCTTAGTCAAAACCAGTATTAAATAAATCCTACCTGGAGAGGCTGGGAACAGCCAGGCAGGTCTGGTGGCTGTGCTCATTGAGCAGCTCCATCCGAGTGCTCTTATAAATTGCAGTTGGGCTCTTTTTGGTAGAAACTTGTTCAGAGTCTCCAATAGAAATATTCATATTTATTACATTTTGAGTACTGCTGCAAGTGCTTTTGGTGCACATTACTGCACAGAAATGACTGCAAAAAAAAAAAAAAAAAAAAAAAAGTTTTAAAGTTAAAAAAAGAGAACTTAATATTTTAACCACTTCCTGTTTTAGTTTCTGTTAAGCTTTTGGGTATTACCTACTGGCTCATCTTTTAAAATCACTCTTTGTTTTCTGTTGTTTGTTGTTTGTTTTTTTTTTTTCAGGAAATCCCAAAGGTGCTATGCTGACTCATGGGAACGTGGTTGCTGATTTTTCGGGCTTTTTGAAAGTGACGGAGGTGAATACCCTGGTCTAGAAAATGTTGCCATGTGCAGAGTGTGTGGGTTAAGCTGTGTCCCTGCACGGGCTGGAAATGCACTCTTGCAGATAAGAGGTGAAATTTCTCTCACTCGGAGAGCCAAACCCATGGAGATGGGGCATTAAATCCCCTTTCCAGCACTGGCTCCCCGGCTCTTTAGGGCACAAAGTGCTTCTGAGGAGCAAACGTTGCTCCCGTAAATCAATTAATTAACTCCTTTTGAAGATTAGGAGAGCAAACAAGCCCTGCTCAGTTGCAGATGGCGCTCGACCAAGAGTACAGGGTCCACTTGCGCCCTCTGTGTCCCATTGTGCTCACACAAGGGCCTCATTTATTTTAAAGCTCTCTGCATATAAGGTGTGTTTATATATAAGAACATAGATGGTTTTTACAAGAATGGTTATTTTCATTGATATTCAGGTATATCTCGGTTTCTGTTATACATATTTTTTAAAAAGCATGGTGCTGGCCAAGTACCTGTAGAATGTTTCATGCAGGGTGTGAATTTGTGTTTAGAAACCATATAGGAAGCAGAAATGCTTTAGCACAACATAATAAGGGTTTTATACGGCTTGTACCTAACAAATGTAAAGAATCTATATTTTTGTAGTAAACAGGCAAATCTATAAAGTAGCGACGCACACACAGGATGGACAGTGTTACCCTACGCCCCTCGCTGGTCTTCCCGTTGGTGCTGAAAATACTGCAGTCTTATTATCTTAATCCCTGAACTTTCTGAGTTTTCCAGACTACTGTTGCAAAGAAACTTGGACACGTGGTGTGAGAAATCCCACTGAACTCACGTGCTCAAGTATTTGCAGGGTTGTGACTCCAGTAATTTGCAGCACGGAATGCCAAACCCTCGGGCTTGGCGGAGCTTTCGCTGGGCTCAGGGGCAGCGGGATGCACAAGGGGAAGCTGACGTGTAGGTACGTCTTCAAAGGGCAGGAGTATTTGTTTTGGAGGAGAACTAATTTAGAAAGAGCTTGAGGGAACTTGGCATCTTCCAGGCTTGGCCCACGGAAATGGATTTAGTGTTTGCTGACGGCAAGGGGACTCTGATTAATCTTGAAGGTATCAGACTGAGACCTAAGCCTGGTGTAAGTAGTTGTAAATCCAATAGTTTCAGTCGCCAGAGCGCTGCTGGTGAGAGTGTAAATGCCTGTAGCCCATCCACACGATCAGGGCAAAGTCTAACCACAGTAATGACAGAGAAATACGTGAAAGTAGTATAAATAAACAAAACAAAAATACCTAAAGCTGAGAAGATTTCTGTTTACATACTCCTGTGCCAGTTTTGCTTAGTTCAGTGATTCTTGTAAATGGAATATTTTTTGAAGTGAACCTAGCGCTTTATTATAAGGTTGTTCTCAAATGCCAAGAAAACTGTTTTTTACGTTTAACTGGACAACTGTGCCAACTGTGAAATACTATTCAATATCATCATTTTGGTCTGATTTAAAAGCAAATCATTTATTGTCTGAGCTCTTAAAGCAGTACAAGAACAACAACAAAAAAAAATAATCAGCATAGCTAGTGATGCTAATGGTTTTACATTACTGTGCTTGCAGAAAAACGAGATCAATTTGAAATCATGTATAAATAGATCAGCAGGCCCTAACAGCACATAAAATAATATGAAACGGGATGCTGAAAACACCCACGTGGTCAATCCTGTTTGACTTCGCTAGGTAATGGTTGGGAGGGCATACCCAAATCTGACTTGCCCAGGTTTAACTGCAATAAAATATTCCCCGAGGAAGAAACTCCCGTGTCTCCATCCACCGCCGTGTCCCAGGTCACGGACTATCGATTCTGTCACAGCAGTGGAGATGCAAAGTGGGTATAAACTACGAATACTGTGAGCTAATAGATTTTATACCCATTTTCCACTAACCACTGGCCTTGGTGCAAGTTATTGGGTAATCATGCTTTCAGTTTTTCTAATCCATAATATTATGACAAGCCTTACCCTTGGAAATGCAGGTAGAAAGGCTACTTTTCTTTTGGGGCATGGATCAGGTAAGGCTCTCAGGGCCTTCGTTTATTCCAGCCTTCAAGACAGAGTTAAAACCTTGGCAAACTGAAGACTTTGGTCACTTGTATTTTTTGCACGATTTGTCCAGCCTTCTTTTTCCCCACTGCACCTGTCTGTGGGGCAGTGATAATGCCCTTAAAATCACATTTTAATCACTTAGAATGATGAGAAACACTAACAAAAATCATTAATTTTTGCAGCTGAAAAAAAAAATCATTAATTTTCCCAATATATTCTGACTCAAATCATTGATTAACCTAAGGGAAAAGAAAAAAAAATAATCTATAGCTTTGACTCTTACTGTGAATCTCTGATGGGCCCTGTGCAGTATGGACAGATGATGTCGAGCCCCGCTGATTTCCAGGAGGTTCCTGCAGGTCTGCACAAGCTGAGAGTGCAAACCGTGGTCTCAGCACCTCCATGTAGAAAGCAGAGGATAAAAATTGGGTTCTCTGTCCGGGTGAGCCCCCGTTTCCAGCGTGAGCTGTGTGGTTCGGGTATGCCTTCTGCCATGGAGAGACCTCTCCATTGCCCTCTGTGTACATCTCCGTGCTCTTTACTCCTCCTGCTAACTGAGCTTCATTGACGCTGTGGCTTAACGCTTCACTTCGTACGCTGCTCCCTTCCTCTCTTGACAATCTTTACCCTTTTGCTCCTCTGGTGCCATTTTTCTTTTTATTGTTTTATGACTTTCTTGTTGTCTTCCTGTCAGTGTTTCTTTCCTTTCTGTCTCCCATGCCCTTCACCTGCAGAAAGTGATCTTTCCGAGACAGGACGATGTGCTCATCTCCTTCCTGCCTCTGGCTCACATGTTTGAAAGAGTTATACAGGTAAGAAACCTGCCTGAACTGACGAGGCCTCGTGGGGCTCCTTGTGTTTTCTTCCAGAGTCAGTGGTCTCCTACTTGTGAGGATGTACACATTTCCTATTTGCCTTTAGCACACATGTTTGAGAGAATGGTACAGGTAAGGTCCTAGTGTCAGTGGAAATCGTCTCTTTTTCCACGAAAAAAAAAAAAAAAGAATAAAATACTAAATAACCAGCGATATCTTGTAGCACTAAAAAAGCTTGTACTCCAGAAGTGCCACGTGCATAACACCAGGGCCCGGCCTCTGGTCTCGGTGACATGGCCGTGAGTCCAGAGCGATGCCAGGAGAGTTCCCCAAGCTCTCTGGCCCTTCGGCAACGAGCAGAAACTGCTACCTGCACGATTCCAGGGGCAGCTTTTCGAAGCACTCTAGGATCAGGTGTCACGGGAGGAAAAAGAATTTCTTGCATAAATCAAGCGGGTCTGCAAAAAACCTTGCGGACACGGAAAAAAAGAGGAAACTGAGATCATGGTGTGACACACGTGATCCTCCTGGCAGGGCGGCGTATGCGGGGCATTAACTGGAAGCCCTGGAAATAATGGCAGGTAGAAAGTGCTAACTCGTGCCAGCCCGCAGAACTGACTTCACATCTCTTTCTGGGAAGGCAGGTGCTCCTCGGAGCTGCAGGCGGGGGGTTAGGGAAGTCAAGTGAGACGATCGCATCGGGCCTCCTGGCCTGAGAAGCTGCGACCTGAAAACTGAGCCAGTATGTGAAGGTTGGAGCTGGATTCAGTTGCAGCTCTGTACTTGCTCAGCGAGGACTGTTTTGGGGCTGAAAGCACACTCTGTGAGTCAGACGAGCATCTGAACGTAAGCCTCCTTCTTCCTAGTAACATCTGTGCCCAAAATAATACATTCTGCCCGGCTAAAAAACTTGCAAATTGGAAGGGAAAGTTCATGAAAGATTTGGAGAATTACAGCACAGCCTGTCTTCACTTGTAAGGCAAGTTGGCCAGTATGCCACCACTATTCAGGCAAAGTGCTTTGCCCCCAGGCGAGAATATAATTATTAAAAAGCCATCTGATGGTGGAAAAAAAGTCAGAGGCATTTGAAATAATCTCATTTCACAAGATGTTGCCGTACTGAAAGGGGCAGGCCTCCAAAGGATGTTCAGGTTTATCCTTCTTGCTAAAAAAAAAAAAGCTCATTAATATAAAGATTTTTTTTTCAAAAGGGCTAAAAAGTGATTTTCAAAAGCATTTGGAACAGCAAGCACTGTGGCGACTTCCCTAGATTTTGCCAACATTATTAATTCCTGGAACTTACAGTTAAAATTATACAGACACATTCTTTAAAGCTAAAAATTTCTAGTAGTTATTAATAATTCCCAATGAGCGCACTGATTACATTTTGATTATGTTTCCCCGGGTTTTTTTTGGTTAGTTTTTTTTGTTTGTTTGTTTTTAATTCATGAGCATGTGCAGTGTAAAACAGATTTGGCAGTGTGATGTTTGTTAAACCCACATCACATGTATAAAATTCCTGTGGTTTCAAGTTGATGGAGAGACAGTCTCTAACTGGTTGACAGAGCAGTGAGAGCACTCGGGTTAGTATTACAGATTTTTAGGAGCAGCACAGAGAAAGATTTAAGTGTCTCTTCAGGAATTTTAAACTGTTTTAGTTATTCAAGGGAGCTGATGTTCCCCTTGCAGAGGAAAGTGAGCGCGCTGGTCCGGGCTCAGGCAGGCTGGGCTCAGCTCCCGGCGCCGCGGGCGCTTTGCTGAGGACGCCTTCGGCTTGTGCTCTAGGAGCAGGGCAGTGCTGCTGGTCTGCAAACGCTGTGATCAAATACCAGTTTTACCAAGCTAGTGACTAATCCTCCGCGGGGTTACTGACTACCAGAGCCGCTGCCTCGGCTGCCGGCCGGCTCATCGCGGGCGCCTGCCCTGCCCCATCCGCCCCATCCAGCTCCATTCTGATCCGACCGAAGTGGCCTGTTTTCTCTCCAAGTACAAACCTTCAGGATCTGTAGTTTCTGTAGAAAAAGCACCTTTTATGAAGTGGGCTTGCTCTTTCCGGGATACAGGATCAGGCACTGTATTGCTAACGTAGTCTATGTTGTTGTATTTAAACAAGACTAAAGCATTAACATCTAAAAATCGGCTGCTGCTCAGTATGTTTTACAGCATTTCTTAATACGCATTTCTTTATTGACAGTAGGTCCTCGTGCTTTGAGCTGCTGTGGTAGGTCTGGGCTTCAGAGGAGAGGTTCAGATCCAAAATCTGACCGTAACTCGGACTTCTCCATCCCCGTATGTGGGGGATGAAGGGAAATCCCTTCTAAAAGCTTTGGTTCCTTGTTCTTCCAGAAACTTTGGCCAACTTGGTGAACGCTGAATTGCCCATTCTGATAAGTGCCCAGAGCTATCTCTAGATTTCTATTTAATGCAAAATTTATGGTTACGTCTACACACATTTCTAAAGCCCCGTTTTTGCCTACTTTAGTAGAATTTCAGGAAAGGCACTTCTGCGCTTGGGAGGGGTGCTCTGCCATGGGAATTCAAAGCAAAGGGGTTACATGTGTTCCTTTTTCTTCCCATCAGTCTGTAGTATACTGCCACGGCGGGCGAATCGGGTTCTTTCAAGGAGATATTCGTCTCTTGTCTGACGACATGAAAGCGTTGCGCCCAACCATCTTCCCCGTCGTGCCGCGGCTGCTAAACAGAATGTATGATAAGGTGAGTTTAATTTTGCTTCTTTTGTAATAGCAAAGTTTATGTCCCTTTAGGATTTGTGAGAAAGAATTCCCGTAGCCATGGAGATTTTCTTCCCTACTGCAAACACATTCTTACCCTGTGTAACTGTTCCAACCCCTACGTCTGTGTTACACCGATTTACACGGACTGCAGACATGGCCATTGCATGTTAATATGAAATCCCTCTGCATTAACCCCTTACCCCGCTCTCACAGAGGTCACTAGTGACCTTTCCAGAGACAAGGGCTCTTTTTCATCACGGAAACGCCAGTCAAACCCGGATGCACTGGGACTTTTTGTGCCCTTCAATTAGTTTTGGAGCTTGAATCTCTCTTTTTGCTGACGACGAGAGCTGAAAATCAGGAATTGCAAAAAGACCGCGAGGATTTAGGCAGTGTAAATGTGAGGTTGGCTTTTGGATCTAGAAATCTTCAAAACTAAGAGGTGGTCTTGAAAGGTATTTAAGACAGGCGTGTCTGGTCGTCATGTTAAATCTGTTTGACCAGCTGGGAATATTTATTCCTCAGAAGACTTATCCTCTAAAGAAGAGCTTAAGCACAAGCTACTGATACAATTTTTCCCCAAGGTCAGGACCGTTGGATCAGGGGTTCTGGTGCCTCATTAGAGGGTTGGGCACTGGGGGTTTCTTCTTTGTGCAGATGTAGTTTGTGCTGGTGTCCGATTAAGCTTAAGTTTACGCAGCCCCCATCACCTCATCGGCCAGCGCTGACACCTGCTCTAGTATTCAAGCTGCTCAGTCCTAGCTGCTCAGATTGCATGATTTCACTGAATCCTATCGCGGAAATCATACAGAAATAGCAGTCATGTAAATCTAGTCAAAGTCTACACCATCATCCCCTTTTTTTTTGTTGTTTTTTTTTCCCGAAGGAACAGCATGTACAGTAATGAATGGAGTGAAACAAACCCCTCTATTTTTTTATTTTTTTTTTTAAAAAAAAACCCTAACAAAGCCCTAGTGTAGTCTTATTTAACTGTACTGCTCATGTAACTCTGCCCTACCTGGCACTGCCTGAACTGTATGGCTGTAATTGTAAGAACAGCTTTTGATGTTTCCTCTCTCTCGGGTGCCGCGCTGCCTGTCGCCCCGCGCTCCCGCAGATCTTCAGCCAGGCAGACACGTCCCTCAAACGCTGGATTCTGGAATTTGCTGCAAGACGGAAAAAGGCTGAAGTTCGAAACGGGATTATTAGAAATGACAGTTTGTGGGATAAACTTTTCTTTAATAAAATACAGGTGAGCAATTTAAGAAGCGAGTCTAAAGTCAAAGAACTGTCCTTTCTTCTAGCAGCGACTGGTTTTCCTCAAAGTCACTGTGGTCTGCTTGCCTCAGGATGAGCTGTGGGCAGTCACTTACTCATTAGCCAACCGCGGACAGAAAAATTGAAGAAGGAAATGGAGCACAGGTTGTTGTTCCGCTGACATCTGCGTTCACTTTCACCACATTTATTTTCATTTATGTATTTATTTTTAAACACCATGCGTAAGACACCCAAATTTCAATTCTGTTAGGGATAGTTTCCCCAGAGGGGAAGGGAGAAACACAAGGCAAAGATGGCTTTTGCCACATCCCTCCTTCAGCAGCACTGAGAAATCACCTATTTGCAGAATATTGCCCGTTTTTTGCAGCTTGGGGATACCAGCTGTGCCCCTGCACTGGCACCGAGGAGGGATGTGATACAGCGCGAAGGCACTTGCCCTCTGCCGGGTGAAGTTGCCCAGAGCAGGGCTGTAGCCTCTGGCACAAGGGCTGCTGTCACCTCCTTTGTTATTTGGGTGCTCTGCCTTGGGGGGACTGGGTGCCTGTGCCCCACAGGTAAATGGTTTTTCCCCCCCGCTCATACCCAGCAATGGGCCGGGGATTTGCATCAAACCCACTCCCCTCTCCTGCCGGTGGGGATGGAATTCAGGAAGATGGAGAGGAAAAGAGGAGTCACTGATCAAAGAGATGTTGCTCCAAAGTTTTCTGCGTATTCTCTACAGATACGATTGGATTTAGGGGTCAGGTTTCAGTTGGGCATAGTCAAAACTGCTTTTTTCCCTCGGAAAACAAGAATAAGGGTGTAGAGAAAAATGCAAGAGGGAAAAGAAATGAGAGTGCCCTGGTGTGTGCCACACATCTCAATAAAAAAAAAAAAAAAAAAAAAAAAAAAAAAAAAAAAAAAAAAAAAGATTTAATTCGCTTTAAACCAGGTTTTTTGGACTCCGTACTACTCCAGGAGGCTCTGATTACTTCTTTCTTTTTTTTTTTTTTAATTGGATAACTTATCTGGAGACATGCCACTTTATTTTTAACTGAAGAAACTGACTGTGCTTTTCATCTGTGGATTAGTTGTCCTCAGTGTGCAAAGATAGCAGAGTTCACCCGGCGCTGACGGGAGCGCAGACGCGAGGCAAGCCAGGCTGCATATTGATTCAGGACCTGGCGAGACTGGCAGGCTCGAGCAGGACTTGTTTTCTTTCTGTGATGGGTTTTCTTTTTGCTTTTCGAATAAGAAAGAGGAAATGAAGCGGGGGAGAAAGAAGTAAAAGTGATGCAGGGATTGATGTAATACCCTCCCGAATTATTTGAAGGTCATCTGCCTTAAAAAAGGGAGAGCATTATTTTAGATGGCTTGGGAGCCAATTCCTTAGAAACAACGAGGTGCAAATAAGCAAAGAAAACCGGAGGGGGTGCAAATAAGCAAAAACTGTCCCCCTCGCAGGTAGAAATTATTTGTATATGCTTATTATAATTTCTATGTCTGAATATTTTATATAAATTCCTATAATATATATGTAATATTAAAAAATTTCTCTAATTTTATATGCTTATTATAATTTCTATGTCTATATATTTTTATATAAATTCCTATAATATATACATAATATATAAAAATGCCTATAATTCTATATGCTCATTATATTTTCTATTTCTATAAATTTTATATACATTTCTATACTATCTATGTAATAGATATTTTTCCATAATTTTTATAGGCTTATAATTTCTATTTCTATTTATTTTCTATAATTTTCTATAGCATAGATGCAATATATATATAGTTTCTATAATTTTTATATGCTTATTATAATTTCTACCTCCGAGGGGGACAGTTTGTGCTAATTGTCTTTATAGTTATAGTTTTATCTATATATATTTATATATTTTATAGCTACAGATGTTTTTTTAACTGGCTTTTTACCCATAAGGAAAGATTTAGAGCCCGTTCCATCTTCCCATAGCACGGCTGCATCTATTCTAGGGAGCCTTTTGTGCAATGCTCACGGGCGCTGCTGGTTTTGCCATCTGCAGTAATTTGTGATGCTTTCTTCTCTTCTCTCCTGGCACCAAACAGGCCAGTCTCGGTGGGTGCGTTCGCATGATAGTAACGGGCGCTGCCCCTGCCTCCCCGACTGTCCTGGGCTTCCTCCGAGCGGCCCTCGGATGCCAGGTGGGCTCACGCGGCTGCTTGGAGGCGTTGATTTGCCGTTAGTGGGGAGACGCGCTGTGCTTAGGGAAGGAGACGGGTTAGAACCTCGGAACCGCTCTGCTCCCGCAGGCGTGGGGCTGGAGTGGGAATGACCAGGGTCCCTGGGAAGCGAGCAGCAGGCAAGAGCTGCTCCCGCTGCCAAAAAAAGCAGCATAGGCTCATCCCACCCACCTCTCAGCACTTAATTGGGTCTGTGCAATTAACGGGCTTGTGCACACGCTCGGAACTTTGTTACGTGAGGTCTATTCTATATATAAATGGAGAAGGATGATCTTCAGAGGCAGTTTAACCCACCTAAGACCTCCACTGCGTTATTTCTCTTTGACCAGGAAGTTGAGGGCGTTGTTCAAGAGCCCAAAATTAGGCAGAAAAGGAATTGAGAGGTGTATTTTCAAAATATTCCCCCCCCCAACTACCTTTTCCCCCCCACTAATAAATTGCTCTCGTGGAGTAACGTATTTCCTGGCTCAAAAGCTAATTGCTGAACTTGTCTCCTCACGATTGTCAGCTCTACGGAGCCCGGTAATTCGTAGTGGTGTAAATGAAATTTTATATACAAAGAGCCAGGGGGAGTGTCCCTGTGTGCACTGCAGCTGGCAGGGTTAGCTCACAGGGCTGGGCAACAGAAGGCAGTGCTGAGAATTTTATCTGTAATAGTGAAATCATCGATGCTGTTTTAAAGATCCCCATTTCTTTGTCAGGTTTATGAAGGTTATGGCCAAACAGAATGCACAGCTGGATGCACCTTTACGACCCCGGGTGACTGGACATCAGGTAACAATTTTCTTCCACCGTTTTCAGACAGAAAAGAAACACGTGTTTCTTTGGAAAATCCTGGACTGTAACATCACAGGGCGTTACGCAACGTTCTCCGCCGTATGAATAATTTTCTGCCAAATGTAATGTTCTTGAAAGTATCATCAGTCCAGAGTAAATCTCCAGGGATCAGATGTTGGGCACGCTTCCTTGAGGAGATTTGGAACTGTCCCTTGAGGTGTTATTTGTGACACTCTCACCTCTGCACTCCGGGCGCTGTGAGTCCTCTCTGGAGCACTGGAGGTGATGTTAAAACAATGTTTGTTAGAACAAAACGCTGGAAGAAAGGAAAGATTAATACAGTCGTGTGCTTAGTGAGCAAACCCAGGTGCCGAATACAGATCCACCACTACTCAAAACTTTATATAGTTCAGGCTTCCAAAGCTTTTGTATGTTGAGAAAATCAGGTGAAAATTAGCACTAAGAAAGATTCAGTTAATACATACAAGTACTGTGGGTTAATTTATTCTTAATATAATTAATCACTATTTATGAAAATGTTTTGAAATGGGTATCATACTCATTCAAATGAATACTGGTAGGACACTTGGACACTGGATATGAATGGGTCTGGCTACTTAAGCATTTCCTTCTTTCCAGCCCAGATTTTCCTTGGCTGGAGAAGAACACATGCTTTTTTTTTTTTTCCCCAGCACAAGTGCCCATCTGGTTTTTTTCAAACGCAAAGCAGCCCCTTGCAGGTGCTGGTGTGTCCTGGGGCTCACTGCCTGCCGGTCCCGTGCCCTGCCCACACACCAGCACCGCATCCTCATCCTCGGTGCGCTTCCACCTGGCAAATTGAGACCTTGGCCCGCCGGAGCTACGGCACACCCGGTGCTGGGACACTGGGCTGGGATTCCTCTTCCCAGCCCATCTTTCTTGGCGGCCGGTTCTGGGCGAAATAGGAAGTTTTTCACACTGCAGCGGTCAGCTACAGCAGACGTTGCCCTCACTTCACCTTTGGAGAAGGTTGACTTCTCTTTGGAGGAGGTTGCAATGTCGCTGCAGTTGGTATTGCCAGGTGATTAAAACGATGCGAGTCCAAAGCTTTGCGTGCTTTTATAATGAGTTAAGCTTAAAAAAGGGGTAGTCTCTTACAGGTAAGGGAGCCATGGTCGGTATTTTGGCATGTTTGAAAACGGGGTTTATATACAGCCAAATAGGAGCTTTGGGTATTCAGCCTTCATAGTGCAAAACCTTAAATGAGGATTATTTCTGCACACAGCAAATGTATTTATTAATAATTATAATCACATTATTTCTGCACACAGACACAGCTCCTGTGAGAACGCGCAGTGTACCTACAAATATGCAAGCAACTAGTAATAAAATGCTAATTATTGTTTATAGGAGAGATGACAAATGACTTGATAACTTTGATTTCCAGGTCATGTAGGAGCCCCTTTGCCCTGTAACTTAATCAAATTGAAGGATGTGGAAGAGCTGAATTATTTTGCTTCCAAAGGAGAAGGAGAGGTAGCAAATCACATTTTTATATCAAATTCTCGCTAGTTAACACTGTATTAAGTAGTTCCGTAGTTATTAGAAGCATTTTAGCTTTGTAAGGTGCATGGTTGCAGACGTATTTCATATTACAATCAGGAAAGGAAAAGTCAATTCAGCAAGAGAGCAGCAAAGCATTAATTAAAACGGGGCTGTGGCAGTACTTCCAGCCAATGCCCTGCCTGATTACTTGAGCAGCTGAGACTGAACTAATTAGTTCAGCTAAGAAGAGCTGAATTGCTGTGATATTTCTATATTGCACATAAATTAAACTTATTGAAGTAACTTTGGTTTTTTAAACTTCAAGCTGAATGCAAATACACTCCAAGCAAATAATTATTGCAATCCCTACTTCATATTTCCATCAGTTTTGGTTTTTTTTTTTAAATCCATAGGTAATTTTATAACACGTTCTATTTCAGTTTCACGGCGCACGGTCATTAAATCAGCCTTTAAAATATTTCACTTTTTTTAGTGAAGACTAGTTAATTACTATTTAGCTTGTCAGTATTTACGGCAGAATAATAAAATAATTTATCAGCAACGCTGACTGTTTTGCAGATATGTGTGAAAGGACCGAATGTTTTCAAAGGTTATCTGAAAGATGAAGAGAAGACAACTGAGGCGCTGGACCAGGAGGGCTGGCTTCACACTGGAGACATCGGGAAATGGTTACCTGTGCGTCCTGATCAGATGCTTAGTTCTTACGTCAATTGTATTACCTCGTGGAAATTTTCAAGTGCTGAACTTAAGTTTCCAAGCAGATCTGTCTTTACAAAGGATTAAGTTTACGTTTTGCAGAATAAGCTTGATATGTCCGTTGAGGCATTTTCTGGCAATTTAAAGAGCTCTGTTAAAAGCAGACTGCGTACTGAATCTCTATGGTTAAATAACTTCTCTGGGAACTCTCATTTCTTTCTCCTAACAGAATGGAACTCTTAAAATTATCGACCGGAAAAAGCATATATTTAAACTTGCTCAGGGAGAATATATTGCACCAGAGAAGATAGAGAATATCTATATCCGCAGTGACCCTGTTGCCCAGATCTATGTCCATGGAGACAGCCTGCAGGTAAAAACGAAATTTTCAGAAAATCTCACTTTGTTCTTTGTAAACAGAAGACAGAGAGCTGGGCACGAACCGGGGGGCGATGTGTGAGTGGGTCCTGGCACAGTTTTGCCCTGACGGCTCCCTCCTGCTCTGGAGCTGGCTGCCAGCCACGCGGGAGCGGAGCTGCTGGTGTGACCGAGGCAGCTTGGAGGATGTCGTGGCCAAAGCTCAAGGCTTTACGTTAGCTTCGGCCTCACCCTTTGGGTCCCCAACGCTCTCCTTGGCCAGGCTGCCTGCGGTTAAGCCACATGAAGGCAAAGCCACCGTGGCTCCGTGAGCACTGCCTGCCCATTTTGACCAATCTTGTCCCGTTTTTGCCTTGCCCCTCTCCCCAGCTGCAGCCCCGTTCACTGTTTGCAGTTGCACCTGCAGTGAAGATGGTTAATTTGCATCTTTATAGAACATGCACAGCTTCAGGAACCATTGCAACTCATGCCTCTGCATTCACTGGCCACAAACACGAGGCTTCCCCTGGCATCGGGGTTGGCCTGCGACTCAAAGGCCCACGAACGGCGTGTGTGTAAAAGATACAGGCTGCGTTCTGCTCTGGCTTATGCAAAACAGAAGTAATTAATTAATGTCCGAGCAGAACACAAACCCGACGGAAGGTGTTAAAATTATCAGCAAGTGCAGGAACGGTTAGAGAGAACCATTTTAGCTGAGGAAAAAGCACAGACACCAAAATATACTTCACTGTGACATGTTAGAAAATGATTGACGTGATTAAACAAGAACAAACACGTAGCAAATTCAACCAGTCTATGTATTTACTTCAGTGTAGGGCCTTAAATGTTGCTCAGCTTTTGCCTGCAGTTCTCCTTCTCCTTCACCTACAGGCCTTTCTGGTGGGAATTGTGGTGCCCGATTCCGAAGTTATGCCAGGCTGGGCAAAGAAAAGAGGGTTTGATGGAACATATGCAGAACTCTGTAAAAATAAGGTTTGTCCTCCTACCTCTCTGCAGTACAGACATTTTTTCACTGTAGCATAACCTAGTTAGAGTAAGTGTCTATTATGAATGATCTCAGTGACGAGAATTATTTCCGCACTGGAAATTAAGCAGGGTTGACCTGGATACAGTGATGACTGATGGGAAAAGACCTCTGCCTTGCAGAGAACACCAGTACGGCCCTAGGAGAGGTTGTGTTTGTTTAGATGTCTTCATTAAGGATCCCAGCCTTATTTACACATCTGTAGTACCGAGTAACCGACTTGGATCACATCCGTGAACACTGACGGCGCTGAATCACCCCACTGGTGTCTGTGGGAAATGATTCTGCATCTAAGTCTGGTAAACGGTCGGCAGATTGCAAATTTAAGCAGCCACGCCGCAGATGTTTGAAAATATAACCTTACATTTCACACTGAGGAGAGAGTTAACGTCACCGCACGTATGTTTAACGTTTGTACATTGCTTTAACAGGATATTTGCTAATTATCTATTAACTAGCAATAAGGCTCTTGAACTTTACTCAGAAACATGTTTTCTTGATGAACAATTAATTGCATCTAAGGTTGACTCTGACGTTTCATGAGGAATTTGTGTGTTTTAACGCAGGAACTGCAGCAAGCGATAATGGAAGACATGGTACGGTTAGGTAAGGAGAGTGGACTTCACTCCTTTGAGCAGGTAAAATAAAACAATTAAGACATTATTCAGTGTGGTCAGACAGGCAGTTTGTCCATTTTTACTGGACGGGGGGATTTGTCAGCATTTGTTCCGTTGCTACGTATCCTCGTTGCGGCTGCACACAATGTTTTGAGAAGGAGCTTTTTCTTGTTGGAAAGTTGTATTTGTTCCTTTGAAAAAAATACATATGCTGTGATTCTGCCTTCCACTCGTGCTTGAAGTTTGAATCAAATTTAGTGAAAGTTTTGGGTGCAGAGGTAAAAATCTCATCCAGGGATGTGGATTAGAGAGGTCGAGATAAAAGTGTCTGTAGGACTTTGACTCTTCTGCCACTGAAAGCACCGTTAGGAAACTGGGTCAGTAATTGCCATTCTTATAACCGACCTAGGAAATGCTGCTGGTTTGTTTATTTTCAGCCTGTGCACTAATTCCTTTGTGGTGCTTCTGTAAATACTTCTGCAACAGAGCTGCAAACACTTCGGAAGGACAGATCCGAAATCAACCATGGATTACACAGCGTTAAAAGCACAGTAATAAAGAAAATCTGCCACGTTGTAAAATGCCAAATGCTTATTTCTGTTACAATAACGAACATCTTAATCATAGAATCATACAATTCTATTATCATTACATATAATTAGCAAGGGCCTTTTTGCTTTTGTTTAGGCTGTTTCTGGGTGGCAGTTCTAATGAGTCATTCACCATATCTGAGCGCAGCAGAAGCACCATTAAACACAAACTTGTTATTCTTCATTTCGCAGTTACATATGCAAATGAAACGATAGTAAATAGAAATTAATTTAAAAATGAAATGCAATATACACATAATAAGTCTGGTTTGCTCCTGGTTTGCTGTAGTCTTCACAGTATGAAATATCCTCGGGTAATCTATTCTACCTGCAGTTCGTAATTAATAACTTATAGTGGGGAAAGCCTTGCCATCTTTCTCCAAATTAAGGGCAAATTTTTCACATTTCAAAATCCCATCTCTTTTGCGATATGTAATCTTAAAAGCACACCTCGAGCCAGATATTGCGGCTAATGTTCCTGTGGGATGGGATCCCCTGGGTATGGAAGAGCCACTCCTTCTCAGCCCCGTCCTCGTCTGCAGCGCCGGAGGCCTGAGCTTGGCAACGACGGCGCTGGCTTCTGTAAGCCACAGCTCCCAGGGCGCAGGCTCTGGAAGGCAGTGCAGCCAGCGCGGGGAGATTAACAGCACAAACACTGAGTTTTGTGAAGGACGTCACTGGGGGAGGAACTGGACCACAAGGCTTGCAGGGGAAAAATGAATCACATAGCTAATGGGAATTTAAAAATGGATTCCCAAGTCTATATTCCTGCAACTCCCAGTCTAACAAAATGCAAAACCACTCTGGGGAATCATGAAAGCAGCAGATGGCTGGGGAATTTTGTCTTAAATCGGTGGACTATGACCAGTCACGCAGCAGTTTTCTGCTTTCTCCCACACCAGCACTCCCACAAACGGAGGGGAAGGCAAAGCTCGCTCCCATCTGTGCTGCCAGGCTCCCCGCTGCGCTCGCCGCCACCGCCGCTAACAAGGGCAGCCTTGTAAAATCCTGTTTGCCTAGGCTGAATGATGTTGTACCATTTTAATTAGCTAGTAAAACACCATCCATTCTTCTTTAAAGATGATCACCGTGTACACTCTTTGTGCCTGCAAGGCTTCATGATAATTTTGCAAGACGGAATTCGTGCTGCTGACTTTCTTTTTCAGTTTGGCCAAGAGGATGTTTCGTAGCGGGACTCCCTGCCCTCCCTCCCTTCCCCTCCCTTCCCCGGTCTTTCAACCGTGCGAAACTCCGCGGTTACAATATCACATATGGTGACCCTGTCCCTCGCGCGCTGCCTCGCTGTGTTTTGGCTTTGGTTTCACACGAAAAGAGGTAGATGTGCTCAGTCTCTCGGAGAGCTCCCTTTGCGCTGGCTGGCTGGCGGGTCAGCGCGGACATGGGAGGACAAGCAGGAGGGCAGGGAGGGGTTGAGGGTTCTCGAGGGATTTCGTGTCACCTCAGAAAACTTGGACGGGAGAGGAAAATCCTGGGGACCTGGTGGAAGAGTCCCCTGGGCTCCAGGCACGGCAGCAAGGCTGGCAGAATTACGCTGATGGAGTGTGATGACTGTAATTTTTGCTATAAATATATCCCTTTTTTATTTTAGGTCAAAGCCATTTACATTCACTCCGATATGTTCTCAGTACAAAACGGTTTGTTGACACCAACGTTAAAGGCTAAGAGACCAGAACTAAGAGATTACTTCAAAAAACAAATAGAAGAGCTATATTCAAGCATCTCCATCTGAAATCTTGGGAAGAATCTTCTGAATAATGGACTTCGTAGCAATATTAGAATAATACTTAAAAGTACAGAGCCAGAATGAGACAGCTGAAATGGATAAGCATCAGAATCTTACATTTGAGCCTTTCATTGTTCTAGGATTTCATCACTAACCATAATTTTCCTTATTTTTTTGCATCAGGTGTGATACAATTTATTTTTTACTTTATGTACACAGTAGAGTACTACTAAGAATTATGCTAAATTGCCACAAAATACATAGAAACTTCAATCTGTGACCTATTGAATTATGGAAACGTACCTTATTAATAACTACAAACATTTGGAATTAAAATAGGGAAAAATTCAGGAATGTCTGTTGATATTTGTTTGTGTATAACCTAATACATTAGAAACGAAAGTTGTGGATAATTCAATAATGTGGTCTACCTCAAACAGTCAGTGATTGATGGTGAAAGTTTATTTTCCCCGATCTGGAACTTCAAGCTGGATATTGATTTATATATTAAGTGATAGATTTTATATTTTCCAGGACACAAATTACATTGATTTGATTTAATCATTAATGGCCTAACTATCAACCAGAATAGAAACAGGAATGAATCTCCTGCTATTTGTACTTAATAGACCTATCGTTGTGTTACATCTAAGGGATTAATACTACCTTGAAATGACAAGAACAGGTTAGGAGGTGATAGGACAGAGTTCCCTCTCTTTCCTTTTCATCCGAACTCAATCTATACGTGGCATGCTGGTTTTGCGTTAGGGCCTCCTTCGGCACGGCACGGCACACTCGTGGACATCCGAACTACTCAAACTGAGAAGGTTGCTCCCGGTCCCTAATTTATGACTTTACATGCTGCTAATACTGCGGTTGGACTAACTCCCGCTCAGAAGCAGGGCTGAAGAAACGGAGCGCAAGGTCGAAGCTGCGATTCTGAACGGGGCTTTGCAAAACAAATTGGTTTGGGAGAAAGGCCGGCCTGAGATGCAGCAGCGGAGGGCAACCTTGGGCTGGCTCTGGAAGAGGAACAAGAGTTGCTTCACAAGGCCCGTGGGGCTGGGCGGAAGGCTCTGTCAGCCAGCGCTGTTGTAAGGTGTCGTGGCATTGCAGAAAGGCTCTCTAAGGAATCATCTCTACATTCAAACGTCTGGAAGCTCAGTTCCCGCTGTCATCACTCCCAGTGGCCTCTCTGGAATAAACTGCAAGTTGTCCGGACGAAACCTGGGGTTTCACAACCAGCTGCGGCTGTTAGAAAGGGGATAAGTCCCATGTGGAACAGGAACGGACTCTGGAGCTCTATCCCGATATAAAGCACGGTACAAAATGAGAAAACTGTAACGTTAAATTGCTTGAATATTTGGACAGTCGGTGGCTTCCTTCTGCTAAACAGGGTCCTAAAATATCTACGTGTATTTTAATAGCTGCTGTTCGTCGCACCGGTGCATACTAGCATGGAGCTGTGCCTGCTAGATCTTCTTTACTAGGACAGTGAAAGCACACTTTATTTTCTCTCTTAAACTAAACTTTGAAGCTAAAAGTTTAAAACTTAATCTAAACGATCTCCTATTTTCCCTGTGAAATTCCACTGCATGCTTCAAAATGAAATAAATTGAATGAGTTAGTGCTACAGCCAGACTGATTTACTGCAGTAATTTCAGAACAAAATGATACAAAGGAAACGGTATCAGCTGAAATAATCACAGAACGGGCCGATTTGATTTATCAAATGTGCAAGTATTTGTCTGAATCGCTTTTTGTGCCTGATTATTCCTCATTTGATTCCAGTGCAATGACTCACATCAGTCCGAAGCAAGTAAGAAATGCCGCTACTGTGACCTGATGGCATTGTACATTCATTTTTCACCAGTGTACACAGCAACGGCTGGGGAATTTGCGTCTGCCACGTCCACAGGGGATAGGAATTACTGTGTAAAATCTGGCTCTTTAGGTCAAGTCAGAAAGGATTTTCATCTCTGTGGAGTCTAGTTCATCTCCTTTTTGTATCAGCCAAAAGACAGTCACTGCATACGCATGCTTCAAAGCGATGAAGAATTAGTACAATTTCCTGTTTTAATGCAACATGCTTTTAAAATTTAAAAAGTCCTAGTCATCTAAATAAGTACAGAGAAGCTATTTTCCACTGATCTTTTTCTGCCACATGAATTTAATTTACTTTTCTCCTAAAATGATTTCAGTCTACCAGACTTTTCTAGATAATTAAACTCTGACTTTGTATAAGAAAAGAATATCCCAATAGGAGTTTATTTACGGATTTGATGGCCGTTACGTTTAAGTATATCATGCTGAATAATGTCTCTGTCTTCTTTGGGTATTTGATGCAAAATGTCAGATGCACTAGAGCCAAAGATATGAACACCAAATGAATAAGAAAGAAAAAAATACAGACTTGGCCACACTAGGGTGATGCAAAATTCGGGAGAAATTGTGTTGTCACACCAAAAGTACAAATACTTTCAGAACTTGTGAAAAGCTGTATAAATAAACTAAAAGCTGTCTTTAGTACTTTCTTGTGTAATCAGATTTTCCTCTGCAGGTCACTCTCTCTTGCCATAACCATAACAACGTTGTAGGAGATTAAAACTTGAAAAGAACACGTGTAACGCGTGAGCTGGGCACAAACATGCTTGTCTTCAAGTTCCAGGAATATTTATTTCGTGTTGCGCTTTCTTAAACTGAAATACTTCTTGTGACCACCAAGGAAAAATCCCCAGGGCTGTCCAATAACCAGCTGTGGGTTTTCTGTCCTCTAAAGATAACTAATTACAAAATTAATTGCTAATATTCATCTTAGTGAAAGAGTTGAGACTCAAGTGCTGTTGTATAAATGGCAGGTAACAGCAAATTACCTTTTTCTGTGGAGAGCCCTACCCCTGATGGCTTCAGGATGACTGGTTTTCACTAATCCCTGTCATCTGGGGTTCATTCCGTGATCAATGAATGAAAAAATAGAGCGAGCCCACTGCAGTGAGCCCAGCTCCGGCCTGCCACGGTGGGTGGGATCATCGCCCGGCCTCCGGTGCTCATATATAAAAACCAGAATATGTTTTTCCAGGAAGAGAATATCGCTTAGTTATATATTTTGTATGTTCTTGGCTCAATATATTGCACAGAGGAAATACTGCTCTGCCACAGAAATGGTCGAAGACACAGGCGAGTGTGAGCAGAAGCCACGCCCGACCATCTGAACCCCGTGTTGGCAGGAAATACTCAGCATCATTCTGTCCCGAAAGGCACATTTTCAGGTTACAGTGCTTGATGCAAATCAGGTGAGAGAGAGACGGCAAGTTGTTTTTTGATTAAGTGCTATTTTGCAATGTTCTCACTGTTAGTAAGTATATCTCAGCATCAGTAAAGTCCAGTGAACTTTTTGCCATGAATATGAAATTCTTGCATATAACAAAATAATCGGACTTAATCTTCTGCAATGAAAAAAATTAACTATAGTTTGTTTTGGGTTTTTTTTTTGTTTGTTTGTTTGTTTGTTTAATTTTCCATGTGTTAAAAGCACAAACTGGTGATCTATTTGTAAATAAACCGCTACAAGATGAATGTAAACTGGGAAAGAATATACTATTTTTGCATGGTAACAGATTACTTAAAGACCTCTTGATGCCTTACAGAAAATTTGGAAAAGCATTTTATTTAGAGGCAATTCTGTGTACTTTTCGTATCTTAAACTCATTTTGGTTTTGTCTGTGGAAAAAAAAATATCTTTGTTTCTTCTGGGTATTAACATTTTTCAGTACTTCGCACATTCAGTGGTTTCTACGCCGCTTTTACGCCTGTGAAATGATGAAGCTGAGGCTGTGCTTTTTGGAGGAGAAATCTGGATGCTTGTAGTCTGGAAGGGAAAAAAGTTTTAGATCCCTGGAATTGTTCCAAAATAAAATGTTTTCTGAGGCATCTAGAGCCCCTTTAAGCCCTTCACTTCATTTCAGCTTTTTGTTATGTATTTTAGCAAAGTACAAGCAGCGGACAAATGAGGCGTTTTCGTAAGTGTTGCCTATTCTATTTTCAACTGAAAGTGAAGGAGTTAAAGTATAACATATACATTTCTGTAAAAAGAAAAAAACCTGTAATTAAAGATTTTTTCAGTTTTGGTATATTAGCATGTATATCAAAAAGTCATCTATGGAAACTTTTGTAAAGAATTTAAATCGTCACATTTCTCAAAACTGCTCCTAAGATTTTCTCGTGGACTGACGTACAATAAAAGCTCTTTTATAAAATCTGTTGTTGCTCCAGCACTCTGTCCTCACAATCAGTATGAAGTCGCTCAGAATGCGTGCCTATACTAAATATGTTGTAAAAAAAAAAAAAGGAAAAAAAAAAAAAAGACTTAAAATAACAACCAAAGGAATATTGGAACCTGAGACTGATTTTAGCAATCTTCTATGAAAAAAAAAAAATGTTGCAGAGTTCTCTGAGGACACAGCAGTCTTTCTGTAATGGTTTCATTTTTTTTTATTTTAAATCAATAATAATATAACCGAATGTATATGCTTGTTTAATATGAATTGACAATTGGGAATGCATAGTATTTTTTCAGACTATGTGTCTAAAACAATAAAGTTTAAAAGCATTCAGTCTCTGTTCCAGTTTTTGGGTGCACTTCCATCTCTCCCTTCACTTGGAAATCCCGTAATGCCGAAGAATTGTCTCCAACTTTTCGTGTTAAGGAAGCAAGGAGATTGCTCCGCTCCATCGGTCCGAGACACGAGGTCTGACCAACAGAATAGAAGTTACACGATTTTGATAGCGAGATGTAAGATAAACCCAAATCTACGAGCGTATTTATTAGCTAAACCCGCGGCAGGCAGCAGCAGCACCCAGCGCGCTCCCTGCAAAGCCAGCAGCGGGGTAAGAGGAGCGGGCCTGGGCAGGATTATTCCCTGACCATTTCCATTTAATTCGGCATCAGAAACCGGTGCCCGGTTCAGGGGGCACAGCCGCCCCTCAACATCTTCCAGGTTTCTTCGCCCCCAGCCCGCCCGAGGTCCCCGGGGTCAGCCTGGGGCTCCCCCCCCCCAGTTTCTCTCGACCAAGTTCCTCCTCAGGAATTTACGCTCCTTCAACCCAAAACCCCTCGGCCCAGACTCCTGCTGGGGACGCGCCCGACGGAAAAGCAACTCTTGCCGCGCCGCGGGGACGGTTCTTTTCCCTTTTCCCCCCGTGGGGAGG